CAGTAAATGATGACTCTAGTAACAAAAAGAAGCACAAATCTTGAAGTAAAAAATTGCATAAAAAAGTTGTATATATAATTTGTATAACTGAAAAGGAGATTTGCTCTTGATCTTAATTAGAGATGATCAGAAACTGGGTTTTCATATAATCTAGAAAATCTTATCTATATTCTGTATCTGTTATAGGTATAGCATTTAGTATAGAACCTAGTAATAGACAAACTACTTAAATTAGATGCTTAAAAAGTACAGATATAGCTAGAATGTATCCTTATTAAAATGTACTTGTTTGGTGTCTTCTTAAAAAGGGCATCATATTATTCTATAATTTAATAAAAGCGATAAGCCAAAGAGGCTAATCCTGACTATAAAAAAAAATAAATTAGTATACAAAAATTTATTAACATAGTAAAATATCTTGCTATTAATATTTTTTGACTTTTTTTTAGTTTTGCTATTGTTTTGATTATACAAGATCTTATGATTTAATTGGTCAATCATATAAGCAATAATAATTATCTGCTTGCAATACTTTTTTTTTAAAGTTAAAATTAGAGTTTAGTAGTAGGTTTTATAAAAACAAATATAAATAAATTTTAAAAAGTTAAATAAAAACTAAAGGATGTGGTGACTTAATATAGTTAGTAAGTTGTTACACATTCAAGCAGCTGGACAAAAGTTCAAATTCTACTGATGATGAAATTTGAATTTATAAAATGTGTTATAATAAAACTGTATAATATATCAAACGAGTAAGTACCTGTGATTTTGTTCTTATCAGTTTGTACTAGAAGGTTGCAAAATGTTAGTGTGATGTATGAGTTATATACAGAACTCAAGTAAAGCAGCCAATAAATTCAAGGGATTGAAGATATAGAAACCTGCTTGGAAAGTTTTGAGTAAAGAGATAGCATAGATTTTTGATGATACTATGTAAAGAATTATTATTTGGAAAACTAAACACTAATAGTAAACTGAATAAGGACCAAATATTTAATAAGCAATATACCAACCAGGTTACTAAAAAAACCAGAGGAAAAAGAATTTATTTAAAATACTAAATGATGCCTACTGGTCCCTCTTAGGCCATCTGGATTAGAAGTTTGGGACACTGTTAGTTGATATCGAAGTATTGTTGATAGTTTATAAAGTGTATACTAGGTTTGAGTAAACTTTGCAAAAGCACAGAGTAAGTAATAATAGCGAAAATAAAAAGCTGCAAGTACTTGACTATGGCCTAGGCATAAGTTACTAAAAACTTAGATAATACATGTATAGGACATGAACCGTTTTAGTAGATTTATTACAAAAATAAAGTAGTCTTAAGTGGCAGTTTCTCTTTGGAAAGAATATCTAACAATGCTAAGTTGATCAGAGGGTTTAATTAGATAATCTAAATAATAGTGGATTATAAATACAGCATCTAATATAGAACCTAGTAATAGACAGACTATTTAAATTAAGCACTCAAAAGGTACAAGTATAGCTAGAATATATTTTTATTAATATAATAAAGTTAGAGGTTGTTCTGGTATTTGATCCAAAATTCAATAAAATATGCCAGACCTCAAAGTAGTCACCTTAACATTAAAAAAAAAAAAAGTCAAATAAAAACTATTTTAATTGATAATCTGCTTATCAACTGGAGAATAGGCAAAATGAGACGTCTGTTATCTAAAGCTTTTTTTCTTACTAAGTTAATGAAATATACTTACTAATTGAAAGTTGTAGAGCTCATCTCATTTTGCCTATTCTCCAGTTGATAGGCAAATTATCAATTAATCTAATTTCATTATAATCTGTAACAATTATTAATAAATTTATAAATTTTTAGTTATTTAAATAAATATCAACAACTCTTCTTAACAATCTTCTAATTAACAACTCCAAAAAACAAAACTACAGAAAAATATTATAGAAGATCACAAAGTACTTAATAAACTTGGTCCTACACAAATAGGTGTATTGTTAACAAAGTATCAAAAATGTAAAACCAAAGTGCAGACTTCTTTGAATGATTTTTGTAAAGGTCAAACTTTTCTTCAAATAGACTCCTCTATTATATTCGACACCCAAACAAGAAGGATATTTTTAGAACACAAAATGACTAGATTAACACTAAGAATATTAAAGACTTGGATTATTACTATATAATCATAAAACTTGTAAGAAATATTATAGAACAGTTTTATTTTATTAGTTTATTATTTTATCTTAGTATTATTTTATTATTTCGATATTTGTATTTTATTAGTTATTAGTTATTATTATATTTATCTTAGAGAAGAATTTAAAAGATATGCATAACAATTAACCTTAATGCTTAATGCTTAGCAATTTACGATTAGCGATTACGCTTAGCGATTAGTAATTACGCTTAGCGATTAGCAATTACATTTAGCGATTAGCGATTACGCTTAGCGATTAGTGATTATGCTTAGCGATTAGCAATTACGCTTAGCGATTAGCGATTACGCTTAGCGATTAACGATTAGCGATTACGCTTAGCAATTAGTGATTATGTTTAGCGATTAGTGATTAACGATTAATGCTTAACGCTTAATGATTAGCGATTATAATTAGTGCTTAGCACTAAGTAAATTACACTTAGCTGCAATGATTAACGATTAGCTCTAAAGATATAAAAAGGCTATAAATTTCCCTAAGTTAACATTAGACCTGAAATAATAACAGACTTGTTATTGTCCACCCTACTTCCCCTCTTCTCTAAATTCTCTCTTGTAATATTATAGGATTCTTTAGGAATGGAAACCTAAGGATAGCCTATCATCTTATTTATCTTTAATAAATATATATTTTATCTATAAACTATTGTCTACCCAAACTGCCATAGACAGAAGGGTATAGTTTCTTCAAGAAGCAGAAATTATACTTACTGGTTGGACACCGCTATAAACCTGTGAAGAATCCCTATAGCCATGTCATTGTTATAGTACTGCTGTTAAGAAGGCCATGTTACTGTAACAGAAACAACTACAAAAAAGCTTTGTTGACCCACTACTTTTTTTCAAAGAAATTTTGTCAAAAAGTGGGTGTTTTAGTTTATCTGCTTCAAAAGATCGATATGTAAATTTACTAAAACAGTCAGTATTGTTGATTTTTTAATGTAGACGTTTTATCGTTGTTTACTTTTAATAAACCTGTAAACAAATATGTGGGCAATTATCCAAAGTAAGAGACATTATGCAGGTGGGCAGGTGAAACAGATAACTGAAACTACACAAATAGTGACTTATGTCTCAATTTCCATAAACTGCCAACAATATTTTGAGACTATCTTAAGCTACTTTGTCTAGTTTATCTAAAGTTTTCTAATTTAGTTTTAATAGTTTTTTTTTTTACCTTAACAGATTTTTTAGATTAGATACATATATATTATTAAAATAGAATTAAATGCAAAACTTCTTTATTTTGTAATATGTAATTTTTTAAAGCCCGACATAGGCTTATAACTGTAACCTGTCAGATTCTTTTTTTTCGGTTTGTTTCCCTTTTTTTCTTTTAGCTTAATTTTAATGTTAGTATTTTTTTTTTCACTTCTCTATGAGAAAATGTCATCAGATTGGTAATATCTTATTGTAAGACAGTGGTCTGATAGAGCCTTCTGGAATAGTTAAATTTCTTTGAAACTTAGCATGATGTATCTACTTGTAGATTTATCTGCCCAGTGCAGCCAGTTGCTTGTAAATGCTCTTGAAAGTAACTGCAGGATGACAAACCTAAATATTATATAAAGTGCTTTTTGTTCACTGACAAACTGAATATAATAAAGGATATTGGCAAGATGGCCAAAGTAGAAAAAAAAATACAGTCTAACCTCCCTATAATTACACCCCTCAGGATAAAGATTTGTGTGATTGTAAAGAGAATTTTACTAAGATATGCTTATAAAAAGGTTTTTTTCTATATATTTATAATAGTTGGTTTTAAAATAAATGTGTTTATAAAAAGAATTTTTATATGATGTGCTTATATAGAGGGTGACTATAGGGAGGTTTGACTGTAAAAAATAAAAAAAAATAAAATAAAATTATAAATTTATAATTTTGACCAGAATTATAACCTAATATTTTGATAAACCCACCTATTCCACCCAAAATAACAGAATTTCTGAAAGCCTTCTAAAATATTACCAAAACCAATTTTTGAATAAATATTTATTTTTTCTGGTCTTTGTTTTATATACTCAACTAACTTTTTTCTTTTTCTAGATTTTTTTTTTTATTTAACAGGTGTAAAGCAGGCCGAACCGGGCCGGCAAAATTTGTAATATTAAATTGCCAATTTGCATACCACTACCAAATATTAACTCTAATTTGGCCCATAACGATATTTATGAAGCAATTTTTAAGCAGTTAAACGGTTCATGTAATACAAAATTTTAAAGGTAAGAAATTAAATTGGACAGGTTAGGTTAGGTTAGGATTTAAGTTTTGGGTAAAATACAGTTTATGCTAAAATTTTGCAGATTCTTTTTTGCTAGAACCCCAAAAGTATCAGCGCTTCTTATATTAATGTACAAGTAAAAATTGGATATTAAAATTATCGATTAATATCGATTTTCGGTTTATTTTCTTCACTTGTTTTGCATAAATCGGATAATGGATTAACACTAAAAATGCTGGTGAAATTCAACCAGTGGTAAAATTGATACCATCATCTCTTAATTAATATATCCATTTCGCCATATAACAAGGAAAGAACTAATCATTCCAGCGTAATGATTTCAAAAATTTTAATGGATTCATAAATATTGTTGAATAGTCGTCCATTGTGCTCTTTAGCTGAAAGAAAAAATTACATCACTAATTGTGTTAAAATCAGCTTGATTTAACAACAATGACGGAACTAATTGATGCCATTCAGGCATTGTTTTATTGCGATAATATAAAACGTGCAGCATAAAAGAAAATGCGCAAATTATGCTTGATCTTCCCAATCGTGCTAATATTCTGCATTATATACTTCCGAATATCGGCTCACTGATTTCGAGTTTCTTCTAATCTTTTAACTATGAATAGGCTAGTATCCAAGAACCTTTCAACGCAATTCACCAGGCAAGTCTCTTCTCCACGATCAATCTTATTACCAATCTTGGTGATACATTTATCCCAACAGAGATCAGTAAAAGTGTGGATCGATTGTTGAAGACGCATTTTAGCATTCTCTCCTTCGAGAAATTTGGCAAGTTCTTTTTGGGAAGCTTCGTCAAATTCGGGGTTACCGGATTTTGTTGACCTGTAACCACTTGACATTGCCGGTCAGCTTGCTTTTTTGAATTATACGAGATGTATTTTTTTTTTCTAGATGGTTATTAAGCCGTGATTTAATAAGTATGACTTTATTGGCTGCAAAGTCATAGGACGATTGGCTGATGTAGATCAATTGCCCGGGTAACTTATTTATATGCTTTAGAGTATTTTTTTAGAACTCATACTAAAAAAAAAAAATAATCTAATTTAAGTAGTGTTAGTTTAGTAGCGACTTTTTGAAATGGAAAGAAAAAAGAAACCTGAAGGTAATTTTAAAGTACTTTTTCAAAACAGAAAGTTTCCTTTGAGAACATTATGTTATATTTAAATAAACTTTGCTTAATTTGAATTTGAATAGGTACAAGTTCTTTAGCAGTACAAGACGTGGGCTTAATGTTTAAATTTGGTCTGCTCTTTTAGTATAGTTTGGGATTGTTAAATGTAAAATTTTTAGATTATATCATATATTGTAGATTCTTTAATGAGTTCGGGTTTTTTAGTAATAAATATTAAATTTGCCACACTTTACGTGTCCCTATCTATTTTCTAAATATATGTGATTAATTCTTTTGTGTATATTTATTAGCTGGTAAATTTCTTTATAGATTTTTTTTGCCGTTTTTTAGTAGCATTTAATCGTCCAATTTTTTAAAAATTATGTAATTTAGGAAGCTTATATTTCCACACCCTTGTATATCACTTATTTTTAAAACTTTGATTGAAGGTATCTCGGCAACCACCTGATAAAATTTGATGACCTTTTTTTATTTGAATTCTATGGATTCATAGAATTCGAATAAAAAAAAGTTCATCAGATTTCATTAGGTAGTTGTCGAGATATCTTCAATCAAATTCATATACAAATTTGCCGCGGCTTATATTTTGATGATGTTTTAAATTTTCTAAAACTTTAATTAGATATCTTGACAACTACCAATGAAATTCGATGAGCTTTTTTCCTTTGAATTCTATAGCTTCATAGAATTTGAATAAAAAAAAGTTTTAATGAATTTTATCATGTGGTTGTTGAGATATATTAAAAGTTGTGAAAAATTTGTTACAGCTTTCATTTTAATAGACATTCAAAATTTTCTAAAAGTTTATTGAAGATATCTCAACAACTACATAATGAAATTTGATGAACTTTTTTTTTAATCTGAATTTTATGAATTTACAAAATTCAAAAAAACCCAATTTTATTAGATTTCATTGGTTAGTTATCAAGATATCATCAATGAAAGTTTTAGAAAAATTTAAACCATCTATTAAAATGTAAATTTGTATATGACTTTGATTGAAGGTATCTTGACAACCACTAATGAAATTTGACAACTTTTTTTTATTTATTCTATGAATATATAGAATTCAAATTAAAAAAGTTTATTAAATTTTATCAGGTTGTTGCCAAGATATTTTTGATTAAAGTTTTAAAAATAAATAATCTACAAAGTGTAAAAATATTAGTTTTGTTGTTAATTATTACAGAACATCATAAGTTAATTGACAAAAATTAACCAGTCAGATGAATTTTATTTATAAGCTGCTAAGCAATTAAAGATTATTACCAAACTTTTAAAAAAGTTTTTAAACATCTTCTAGATCATATGATTTTATATTAACCAAAAATCTTTTTTTTTAAAATAATGTTATAATTAAAACTTTTTTTTTTTTAATGTTAAGGTGACCTCTTTTCTATATTGCTCTTTATTCAAATATTAGTAGTATTTTTAACCGTCAGACATATCTGATGGCTGTATATATTTGTAGAGTTCAACTAGCTATATCTGCATCTTTTAAGCATTTATTTAAGTAGTCTGCTTATCACTAGGTTTTACACTAGATGCTGTATCTGCACCTTATTAGAGTAGTTACCTATTTAAACCCTCTATGCCTATGTATCAACCCTTTTATATCTAAGCAATGATATTTAGTATCACCTTATTTTTACATGCTGGCTTAGGGCTTTAAAGTGGTTTTAACTATTTTAGGAAGTCCTTTGACCTTGAGGTAAATCTGCTAGAGTCTTCTATACTACATTTAGACTGATCTAGGCTTTGTAACTTATGTCTAGTCTAAGAATAAATACTTGTAGTTTTTTATTTCTGTCCTTATAGAGTTCACTCATATCTCAGCTTTGGTACTTATCCAATCAGAAACTCTTCTACTGTTTTACCAAACTTTTAATTCAGATAACCTGGTTTGGTCTACAAATTACATTATCTGTTTGGATGTTTTATAGAATAGGTAGGCAAACTCCATCAACTCCACAACTCTGATATTAAAAAATTAATGATTACTAATTATTAGTGAAGCTTATTTCTTATATTGTCCACCTATTCTATAGAACATCTATCTGTTTTTCTACTGGTTTAACCTGAATACCGGTCTATGCTCTTTTCCTCTGATCAATTTTGGTGATTTGGTTGATATAGTGCTCATCAAACACCTAGTTCTTGTTCAGATATATAGCTTTTTGGTTCTCTTTTTGGACTTTTCAAAACTGTCGAATATATGCATTACCTCTTTACTCAGAACTTGCCAAGCAGGTTTCTATTCAGAACTAGTACAACAGATTTAAACAGGTCACAAAGACTTATTGTGGATTTATATTGCCTTTTATCAGTTTGTATTTTTTCATATAACTTATATGAATACCACATGATCTCTCAAGTTTGTACTACCACTCCTGATAAAGCTTGTAAGATAAGCCATCTATTAAGTGATTATTACTTCTTGCATCAGAATCCTGAACAATACATATAGAGATTATATTAAAATTTAAATTAAAAATAGTATTTTTTTATGAAAATGTTATATTTTTTTTTTCTAATTCGGCTGTCCTGCCCTTGTTTATTTGGGATCAAGTTATTCAAAATTGCAAGTAAAATTACAAGTAATTTATCTCTAACTACAATAGATCTAACCAAATGAAGAACTCACTCACATGATTTTATACATCAGATGCGATCTGCCTCAGTAGCTCTTGGCCTCCCTCAGAGTCCTTAACTCACTAAAGACTTTTTTCCCGTTGTTCATTGGCTGGCGGCTACCCGTTCATCAAGAAGCAAAATCAGAAAAAACAAACAAACTAAAAAAAAACACAGAGGTATAGGG